ACAAGTTCAGCACCCAAGTCTCTAGTGTAGCTGTCAGAAAAGCTTCCATGAAAATCAGGGGCACATATGAGACAAAAATATAAGGTCAGTTCTTCATTTGATAAAGTCTTGGTGGGAATAACATACTACCTCTATTAGTGTGAGGACACATATACCAGGTAGAGCAGTCTAGATCCGCACAACCTAGCCTGGACACCGCTGGTGAAAGGAAGTTCTTCAAGAATCAAGCTGATTCCGGGAAAAATATCCATGGAAGTTCAAGAATTGTTCTGATTAATGCTAAAGTTTTTATTACAAATGGTGGATGTCATGACTGACTAATTGAAAGTGGCATTGCAGCAAGAATGACTTGAGGTGAATAAACAAAAACTGTGCAATTGTTAACAGTGCAGAAAACGACCCACTATGACTGTGACCTTATGCAACTCAAGTTATTTTGGAAAGGGAAAAAGGTCAAATATACCCCCAAACTTTCAAAAATGGTATGTATATATCATCCATCATACTTTAAGGTCGTATGTATCCCTATCATCATACTTTTGGACCATACATACCCTTTAATCAAACGGACATACATGTGGCACCATCTCAATAACTTACTCGATTTTTTAATTATTTTTTTAAATCCATAATTTAAAAACCCACACAATTATATCCTGACCCACTTAAGACCCAAATTAAAGAAACCCTAACCAAATTGCAAGTAACAAAAGCTTCGAGAAATCTTTGATTCAAGCTGCTCAGCGTGCATCTCTACCCCTTCCATACTCCATTCAAAAACTCTGGATTCCCCATCTTCACTGCACCCACCAGCTTTTTTTATCATTCCAAAATTTCAATTCCAGATGAACTCTGAATTGAGTTTCTCTCCAATTGGCTCCTATTTCTCTCTGAATCTCATTTGTGTTCCTGTTGATGAACTCCTATTTCTTGGGTAATTACTTGGTCATAAAGAACCTAAACAGAGTGGAATATATACAGAGTTTTCATATTAATTTAAAGATTTAAGTTTTGTTGCTTTATATAATTACTGTAGTAATGAAGGTAGTTGTAGATAATGTATGCAATTAACAGTTTTTGGGACAAACCAATTGATTTCTCATTTGTCTTATTAATATTTAGGGTTATACTTCAATATTATATAGTTGTAAAGTTGTTAATTTTGTGGGTGTTCTGATCAAATAAGTCGTTGGTAAGATTGCAAAACTTTGTGGCAATGCAAAATGTTTTTTTTAAAACAAAAAAAAAAAATTAGTCAGGATATAATTGGGTGGGTTTGTAAATTTTGGATTTAAAAGAATCAGGTAAGTTATTGAGATGGTGTCACGTGTCTGTCCATTTGATTAAAGGGTATATAAGGTCCAAAAGTATGACCATAAGGATAACATACTACCTTAAAGTAAGACGGTGGGTATATATATACAATTTTTAAAAGTTTGGGGGTATATTTTACCTTTTTCTCTTTTGGAAATGAACAGCTAAGCTAGAGATGCATGTCAAGAGACCATTCATGAGAGTCACCAAACAGAAATGATTTTCAAAATCACGTTGGTATGATGATTAGGCTTTATAGCAGTTCTTGTAGCATTGTTACGGTGCAAAACAGAAGGATTAAGAGAGACTGAATATTAATAAATGATTAGCCAAGGAGTATAAAGCTGCAACATAATTACACTTCGGCATTTGTCTATCATCTAATTTTTTGTGTATTTTCTCTATTATTAATGGTGTATCTTTATCTGGCTGATAGAAAAGCAAAACAAGATGCTAACAACATACCGAATATTTAATATCTGAAGCAAAAGCATGAGACTGCATGCATTTTCTACATCACTTTCAAAGTCGATCAAGAAACCAATAGATTTCACATTTGCAGCAATGGAGAACCAAAAAATTGCAGATATCACACTACCATCAACTGTAGTTGGGAGCAAGGAGTCTGATGATAAACCCAGTATATCAAAATCCGCAATAAGGTCCATAATTGCACCATATAGAGATGGTGAAAAGTGAGCAAGAACAGGTGAAACCTCTATGTCAACCTGAAATAAAGAAAGAAAGCAACCTACATTATAAACACCTGATAAGATATCTCATACTCTAATAATTAGAAACTATAGCAAGCGGAGTAGCGTTGTAACATTCAAACAGAAATTGCTCCATATGACAACCCAAGTCACAGAGGTTTCAGTTTGAAAGTGTGAAAGTCCCAACTTGAATATCTTTTTTTTAAGGATTGGTAACTGTTTGCATTTCTTTGAATCAGTACATGGGTTGAACCATATTTACATAACGAACTCTAAAAGCACTGTGCTATCCCTATAATGAGTCTAAAACATCAATGATAGAGCCAGTGTCATTAGAGTAGATCTGATTACACCAAAAACACAAAGTTAGAATACAATTCAATTTTCTTGCTGCATATTACTCTCCCTATTCTCAAAAACACTAAGATTTCTCTCTTTCCAGACAGTCCAAATAGTAGCAGGATTGATTCTCCAGTTGCTTCTGTTCTTTGCTTGTGATCCTGCTTCTTCCCAACTGTAAAAGGCCTCACCAATTCTACCAGGCATGACCCGTGAGAAGGCATTACCCATGAGAAGTTTTTGAGCCTTAGGAATAGACTCCACAATTGGCCATTGATCTTGCACTGGATTAGTGCTGACAAAATGAGCCCATATTTTGGTGACCCGCCCAAACCGTCCATATTTTAATGGGTTGGGTGAATGGTTTTTCACATGGGTAAAATATGGGTTGATACCCATATTTGACCCATTAAAAATTAAAATATGGGTAAACTACAGGTAAAATATGAATTAGCCAAATGAGTTAAGCTTCTAACTTTTTTTTTTAAAAAAATTTGGTAAATTGTATTCATCAGCATTAAGGATATGCTGATATGCTGGCCACCTCCAACAGTGAATAATTACAAGCTTCCTATCAACTCTACAATCTGATATACATCTTCTATACAAAGTAGTTTACACCAAAGAAGTAGAGTTTCAATATAATTCCATTTTAAGTTAAGCTTATAATTTTTATTCATTCAAAATTCAAGATATAATTAAAAATAGTGTAACTTCTCTTCCTTTATTCTATAGAACTAACTATTCCTCTCTCTAATTGAATTCAAGCTTACAACTGCTCTTGTAAAACCTAAGGAATTGATCCCAACCTCTACCCTCTCTACTGTTCTTCTTCAATGACTCTATCCGGTCAACAAAGTCACTTATGGACACAAAAAACACCTAATACAATCAACTAAGAAAGTAATTAAGATACTGTCTTGGAATCAACACAAGAAACTACTATTACAGCTCAAGAACCATATGGATAGATCTTGATAGCAACAGGTTCTCTCGTTGTAGCAACAACTTCTTCGAAACTCTTTGTGCAGAACTTTTTAACTTTGCTGTCTCTCCCCAGAGTTGTTTACATAGTCGCCTTGTAGTACTCTATTCCAAAACATAAATTAGGTCGAGACTTTCACAAAATCCAGTACTAGTTTGACTTGGTTCGAAACATTGCACGCGTCGATTTCTTTCTCCTATTTTCAAGCTAATTCCATGTGCATAATGTATGATAGCTTTCCATGAAATAATTTCAGTTCCTTGTCGAATTGAATTCTACCGTACTACAATTCTCCAATATTTCCTACTTCCTAGTGCATATGTGAAATAATATATTCTGAATAGTCTCTCATGCTACCCTAGGGGAACATATTCTCTAACGACTTCCTCTGAAGGCTTTGTTAATTTCTTCACTTCTTCTTAGAAGATCTATCTCACTGAGGACATGGTTCTTGAAACTTCATTCTTCATTCTTCTTTCTTCATATAAACTCTCTTGTACATAAATTGTCAATCATCAAAGCACCACATGATCTTGAATGTAGATTCAAAGATGATAGTACTTCAACATCAAGCGACTTACAGAAGACATGATTCTCTAAAAAAGCATCCATTTGTTAAAATATGTACATTTAGTTCAATTAAGTTGGAGGCTACATTCTTTCAAATTTTAAACTGAAAGAGTGTGGATCATTAGCTCTTCTTCTGTCCCACATTGAACTGCACCCATCCAATGCAGGAGAAGGAAAAGAAGCATCTTTAGTATCTTGAAAACAAGAAAAACAATGAACCTAAAGGTGAAACAATTAATATGTACATTTAGCAGTCAAACTTTTTCTATTTTACCAGTCAAGAACATAGAGGCAAAAAATAGTTTGTCGACTAAATTAGATCCTTGCACCACCAGATATATCCATCAATTTCAGTTACACGACAACAAATAAAGGCTTAAGAATTGAAGACAAGAAAAATAATGAACCTAATGGTGAAACAACTAATATGTACATTTAGCACATAAAAAACTTTTTCTATTTTACCAGTCAAGAACATAGAGGCAAAAAATAGTTTGTCGACTAAATTAGATCCTTGCACCACCAGATATATCCATCAATTTCAATTACAAGACAACAAATAAAGGCTTAAGAATTGAAGAGCCTGTGATTTCTGGAGAAAAGTAAAAGACTATTGGAAACCAAAAATTAAATTGCTATCACAACACATAGAAAAACTAGTCATAAAAATGATTCACTTACCTCACAATTTTTCAACTCTGATTCATCAGCAATAATGCACAATGTCAAGTTGATATTGGTACAAAGTTTCTCCAGAAGGGGGACAGTTCTAGAGGAATTTGAAGTTAAAAGTTTTACCTGCAAAACAGAATCACTTAACTTACACCATACGAGGAAGTTGAATATCAGTGTAAATGACTAACCTCAAGATCATTAATGTTAATCTCAAAGTGATCATAGAGATCTTGAAGCTGACAACCCAAGACAACATTACTAGTGCAAAGAGGCGATGCTAATAAAGTATCTCTGTCGCCTTTAGACCCAAATGTTAATTCCCCTGCTTCAAGTACCTGCCCAAACTAGAGATTTTAGGCCACTGAAAATGCACTAATTACATGGAAATAATGAAGCCTTCCAGTTCTCAATCATAAATTGGTCAAGCACACCATGCAAGTAATAGATCACAATAAAATTACTGGAGGGCAACCCAACATCTTATTGGGCTAGTTTCAAATGTATACAATAAAGTAATTAGTCAACAATAAATATACCATGTTTTTATTCACATAAAAATTGTCAAAAAAGATAGAAACTATACACTGACTATACATTATGATACAATCAAAAATCTGAATATAGCTTAACTATACATGAGCTATACACTAGCTATTCATTACAATGCACTCAAAAAATTGAATTTAGTTTAACTATACATGAAGTGCACTGAATATTCAATTCGGACCAAATCAGTGTTATGAAAGGCGCACACCTCGTCGCCAAAGGCGAGAGGCGAGGCGAGGCAGGGTGGCTCGCCATTCTCTGGCGAGGCGAGGCGAGGAGAAAAAGGCGAGGCCCTGGCGATAATGGCGCTGAAATGGCGAGAGAAAGGCGCCGCCTTTTTGATTAAAAAAATTTGACTTAATAATATTAGTCAAAATTAGGGTTTTTTTTTACTTTCTAAAATTTCTGAAACTCGCGACTCTCTCTCTCGATCGATCGATTGACTCTTCTCTTCTCCCTCGCCGGTCCTCGCTGCTCCCTCGCTGTCCCTCGCCGGCCCTCGCTGCTCCCTCGCTGTCGCGTCTCTGCTTCCTTGCTCTCCCTTGCTGTCGCGTCTCTTCTCCCTCGCCGGCGACCTCGCGACTCTCTGTTTTCAGGTAATGTCGCGTCTCTGTTCTTCTTCTTCTTCTGTTATTATTTTTTCTGTTCTTTCTTCTTCATTTTTTTTTAATTTTGGTAAGCTGCGTAAGCAGCAGTGAGGACTCAGTAAGTGTAAACAGTGTTAATTTTTTTAAAAAAATTCTTTTCCTAAGACCTAATTATTTATTCCAATATTCCTAAACAGCGAATTAATTGAATTTGATAATCAATGGCGGATGCTAGCAAAAAGAGGGACATTGGATGGAATTATGGCACTCAAGGAGCGACGAAAGATTCGGTCACTTGTAACTTTTGTGGGAGTACTTTCAATGGTGGAATAACGCGACACAAACAACATTTAGTGGGTGGTTTCAAAAATGTTAAACAATGTGCCGCTTGTCCGTCGGAAATTAGAGAAGAAATAAGGGCTTATATGCAAAACAAAATAGCTAATAATCCCAAATTTCAAATGAGGCAACCGGAAGAATTTGTTGATATTGATGATCTTGATGAAATGGATGATTATGCGGAAATGAGGCCTCCCTCCAAAACTCAAAAGATATCTTCTAGTGGAGGTTCATCCACTGCACGGAGTGTGATGAAAGGACCTTTGAACCTCTATTTTTCACAAAAATCAACACAAAAAGGAGG